TAATTTCCTCTGTGACCCATTGGTTGTTCAGGAGAGTGTTATTCAATTTCCATGTGTTTGTGGGGTTCTTGCGGTTTCTTATGTTATTGATTTCCAATTTTATTGTACTATGATCTGATAATATACAGGGAATAACTTCAATTCCTTTGCATTCATTCAGGCATGTCCTGTGAGCTAGCATGTGGTCTATTTTGGAGAATGACCCATGTGCAGCCGAAAAGAGTATACTGATTTTGTGGGGTGGAACACTGTAGACATCTATTAAGTCCATTTGTTCAAAAGTTTGGTTCAGTTCTGTTATTTCGTTGTTGATATTCTGTCTAGATGATCTGTCTGTTTGTGATAGTGGGGTATTGAGGTCCCCCACTACAGTTGTATTAGTGCTTATTTGGTTTTTCATGTCCATTAATACTTGTTTTGTATAGTTGGGAGCATTAGTATTTGGTGCATATATATTTACAATTGTCATCTCTTCTTCTTGGATTGTTCCCATTACAAGGATATAGTGACCTTCTTTGTCCCTCTTAATTAGTTTTGGTTTGAAATCTACCTTGTCTGCAAATAAAATAGCCACCCCTGCTTTTTTCCGGGTGCCTCTCTTATGGAGAGTTGTTTTCCATCCTTTTACTTTGTCTATGAATTTCTTTTTCAATTAAGTGTGTCTCTTGTATACACCATATTGTTGGATTTTGCTTTTTAATCCATTCCAGGCAAAGACTTCTTACATTTGATTTTTTACTTTGATTTCAAGTAGAATTTTTAAAAATCTGTACTCTCAATCATGTCTTCAATATAAAAATTAACCAGCTCTGTAATTACAGTGACCATAACTTCTTCTTTAAACTTTAACCATTCATTAAATTAGGTAATAATAGGTTCTCAAGAGCTATGTGCGTCTATATTCTGTGCTATGGGTTGTTTAAAAAACACTGATGGGGGCCCGGGATTTAGCTCAGTGGTTCTGCTGCCTGCCTTGCAAGCGCAAGATCCCGAGTTTGATCCCCAGTACGATCCCCAGTACCTTCCCCCCCAAAATATAGATGGTAGCAAATGTAAAGCACTTGCTGTGTGCTAGGACAGATATAGAGTACCAAAGAGGAAGAATAGGTTAGAGGCAATAAGGATTCTGTGTCACTGAGAAATACAAAAAGGTGCTCGCTTGGGAGGTTTATAATCAACAATGAACTGAAGTTTTAGTTTCCTTCCTTTTCTCGGGCATTGTTCAACTGTGTTTTGAGATACAATGTGAAATAGTTTTATTGATGCTTTACTAGCATTTTCAGGGTTCAGGCTCTTAACATAGGTAGGTGTATTATTTTCTAGTTGGAGAACTTAAAAAGAAGTGTCACTTCATGACATTCAGGGCAGTCTAGGACTTTATCCAGTTCATTCTAAAATAAAACTATAGTTTTTGTGTGACTGCTTTTTGCCAGGAGCTATAATAGTTACCTTAGTAATATAGTTTACATTTACTGACTTCACTGTGTCAGTGCTGCTTTTTCTATATATTAATTTAATCTTCTCAATAAGCTAGTGAGGAAAATGCTTTATTCTAATTTTACAAATAAGATTATTTAGGATACCTTGAGGCTGAATAATTTAAGGTCACAGAGTTTGTAAGTGAAACATAGTGTGACACCAGAGTTATGCTCTGAGCTGCTACCTCAAATACTTCCTCTCCTATCTATAGTTTCACAGTTGCCTTATGAAGTAAGTATAAAAAAAGGAAATAGGTTTAGAAAAATGAACTTTCTCATAGTCACTTTTTTTTGTTTATCTCACTCCAAATCTCCTGTTTTATTCTATGTTGCCTTCATTCTACCCTAATAATAGAATCAACAGGGACTATACCATGAAAATCTTGGACTTATGAAAATAGGACAGAAATTCTTTCTATAGCCTTATCTTATAATTCTTGTTTTCTCTCTGAAGGCCATTTCTGAGCAGTAGAGATTTTTGAGTACTTCGCTGAACAGTCAGTTCCAGATCCTGTCGTCATATCCTGTATAGGTCTTTCAAGTGGTAAGTTTTCTTACAGACATATTAAAACTTAGATAAATTCTGTCTCTTGAATATCTTCATCAATAGGTTGTGAACATGTAATTGATTATTCTTTAGTGTTTTGTTACTACTGTATTATACTGAGAAAATCAGAGTGTATTTACCTGGTAGGACTCTTGACAATATTTAGCAAAACAAATAGATGCTTTGCATCAGCTCAAAGTCCACTATTACTTGTTATAATTTTATCTTTAGAGCACATATTTAAGTGCTAACTGGCCAAATACAGGGGTATAGGTTAGAATAGAGTTAAATTAGTGTTAATTACAGATGTAAAAACAACTTCAGTGAACATTTTATTTTAACTAAATTTTAAATGATTAAAATTTGTTGTTTTAAAATAATTACTTTTATTGAGAGTGTCTTTTTAAAGTCTGTCATGCTTTGTAAACATTATCCATGTAATTCTTTCAACTCTGTTAGATGGTGGTTTTGACATTTTACAAATGAAGAAAGTGTGTTAGAGATGAGACGTTTATTAGGTCATATAATTTGTAATTTGACAGAGCCAGCTTTCCAACTTATGTCTTAAACATTTTGCTTTTCTCATTGTATGATCTGATTTTTCCTGATGTTTGATTTTGGCCAAGTAGAAAGTCAGATTATTATTATTATTATTTTTTATTTTATTTATTTATTTATTTTTTGAAAGTCAGATTTTTAAGGTGCTGGAGAGAGAAAAATTGAAATGATGCGGTTGTGCCTATTTGTGTGTTATAGAGAATTATAGAAGCTATATTTTTCTTAAAAAGCTGTGTTTAAATGTACTGAATTATCGTCATTTTTTTGTTTTTGTTTTCAGGTAACAGATGCATATTATTTATTTTATTTAAAAAAAATGAGTGTAGCTAGCATTGCATTAAGAGTTGAAACTTGGCTTTTAGCTACATGGCATGTTAAAGTACCTCAAATGTGGCTGGAAGCTTGCATTAACTGGATCCTAGAAGAAAATAATAATGTTAATTTGAGTCAGGCACAAATGAATAAACAAGTATTTGAGCAATGGTTACTTACTGATCTGAGAGATTTGGAACATCGTCTTTTACCTGATGACATTTTAGAAATTCCAAAAGGAGAACTGAATGGATTTTATGCTCTGCAGATTAATTCCTTGGTTGATGTAAGTCAACCTGCATATTCTCAGATACAACGGTTGAGAGGAAAGAATACTACAAATGATCTAGTTACAGCTGAAACACAAGTTACCCCCAAACCTTGGGAAGCAAAGCCTTCTCCAATGTTGATGCTACAGCTAACTGATGGAGTTGTACAAATGCAAGGAATGGAATATCAGTCTATTCCAGCTCTTCATAGTGATCTTCCTCCAGGCACAAAAATTTTGATTTATGGAAACATTTCATTCCGTCTTGGTGTTCTTTTATTGAAACCAGAAAATGTGAAAGTGTTAGGAGGTGAAGTAGATGCTCTTTTAGAAGAATATGCACAGGAAAAAGTGCTTGCAAGATTAATTGGGGAATCTGATCCTATAGCTTCAGTCATACCAAATAATTCTAACCAAAACATCTCCAAAGTTATAGATGTTCTAGATCCTGTGTTAGGACCTTCTGATGAAGAACTCTTGGCAAGTCTTGATGAAAATGATGAGCTTGCAGCAAATAATGACACCTTGGAAAGATGTATCAACACAGGTAGTTCCTTGAACACTGTTTCTGTGAGACAGTCAGATTTTGAGCCAGGATTCAGTTCCCCAAGACCAAAGGAGAAACCACCAAACCAATTTCTGTATTTCACTGATGGGGAATTGGATGACTTTTCATTGGAGGAAGCCTTGCTTTTGGAAGAAACTGTCCAAAAAGAACAGATGAAAACTAAAGAATCACAGCCATTGACTTTGAACAAAAACACAGATAAAAGTATGGAGAGATTTTCACATAAAACTACTACTCTGAATGACTTTTCTTTGATTTGCAAACAAGGCATTAGTAATTCGAATGAAAATATCTTACCTGAACAGATGACTCATGAAGACAGGTCTTTATCTGCTACAGACCAGAATAGTAGTGTTTTTTCAGGTCATCGTAACGTACCATTAGCACATAATTTTACAAATAAAGATAAGAATTCAGAGGCAGATAATAAAGTAAAACAAACCAGCAGTTTGGATGGACATTCCTTAAATGATAAAATATTAAATAGTGAGCCAGTCAAGAGTTTACAAGTTTCTAATGAACGTGGTCACCACTTACAGGTGTGTTCTTTAAGATCAGAGAGAAACACTGATCTTTCTGTTGGCACAGATTTGTATTCTCCACCCTTCACCTATCTCTCTGTTTTAATGGCCAGCAAACCAAAGGAAGTTACAACAGTGAAAGTCAAAGCATTTATTGTAACTTTAACCGGAAATCTTTCAAGTTCTGGTGGCATTTGGAGTATAACTGCAAAGATTTCTGATGGCACTGGATATCTAGATGTAGACTTTGTAGATGAAATACTTACCAATTTAATAGGGTTTTCAGTACTAGAAATGAAACAGTTAAAAAAGGATCCTCCCAAATATCAAAAGTTCCTGGAAGGTTTGCAAAAATGTCAGAGAGATCTAATAGATTTGTGCTGTTTAATGACTATTTCATTTAATCCTTCCTTGTACAAAGCAGTGGTACTTGCATTACAAGATGTTAATATGGAACACCTTGAGAACCTAAGGAAGCGATTGAATAAATAACATTAAATAGTATTAGAGAACAATTTAAAAGAAGGAAGTATTTAAATTTGTTCACAATTTTATTTTTGAAACTTTTATTGGTTCAGATTTCAGAAAATGTGTTCTTTTTAGTTTATTAATCTTCAAGGACTATTTGTGTGACTCTTAATTTTTGGAACCTTATGGGATAGTATGACCAAAAAGTATGATGTTGAGTAATCCAAGTCATTTCCTTCCTACTATAATTTGCATAAACTTATTATATATTCTAGAAGAGTTCAGAAATTGAGGCATCATAAACAAGCACATGGAAGTACTCTGGTTGAAGATGAAAACGGGGAAATGTTTGTTACAACAATTGTTTCTAATAAAGTGGGGTTCACAAATGTAAACAAGTTTTTAGAACAATGCTTTGGTTGTTTTCATGTTTAGGCAGTTGAACATCAGATTAAGCTAGCTTCTTGCTGAAATTGTTTTTGTAAAAAAATGAAGTTTTATAGCTTATTTCAATTTGTTTCTTTTAACTCAGCATCTAGTTTCCTCTATTATGGTATTAACATCTTATATTACTAGGATATGTCTGTTATTGAAACAGTATGCATCATTCAACAAAGTCTGTCATTTAGATTTCTTAGCTTTTCTCTCTCACTGCTTTTCTTTTCTTTTTTTTTTTTTTTTGGTACCAGGGATCAAACTCGGGTCCTTGTGCTT